GGAGGGGGCTGAAAACAAAGGATGCTGCCGCACAGCCTCATTTGAGTACGCGGGGCACATCTTTACGACCCGCCGCCGCTTGGGGGCAGCTGCACGACGGCCTGCGTGGCCTCGTCGGCGAGCTGCTCGGCCTGCCACGCGATTGCAATTTACGTCAGCAATAAAACTCCCATTGCGGGGGCTTCTCGGTGAGTTCCTCTCTCTCTCTCTCGATTCGGTCGCGCCCCCGCGTCCGCCGGGCCCCGCGCGCCCGCGCCCCGCGCACCCGCCGGGCACCGCGCCCCAGAGCCCAGCGCCCCGCGCCCTACGTGCTCTTCGAGGTCCCCGTCTCCAACTCCTTCGGGAACATACAAAGAGGAGCCCCTTCCCCCCTTCCTCTCTCCGCTGCGCCCTGCTGGAGAACAAGAGAGGTAACCTCGTGGTGCTTTGGGCCCTTCGGGTTCGGGCTGCTGCTCTGTCTGCGCGGTGGTGGTCCGACAATCTATATGCCGCACAAAAGGCCATGGGGAGTTTCATCTCGCTCAGGACGAGTTCAGGACATACTCGTGCACGCGGGCAGATACGAGGGCGCGCCGTTTGTTTCCCCTAGAGCTGCTCCTCCCTGACCCGAGCGGCGGGCGGCGGTATGGTGCTTGCACCGGCGACACTCACCTCGCCGATGAAGCCGCTCGACTCCTCCCACTTGTTGGCGATGCGGATGGTCTCCGCCGTCTTCTCCTGGACCGACTTACTCTCGTTCAAGAGCGTCAGCTCGTAGAACTCTTGAATGTCTGCAACACACGGGAGAGGAACGGCGTTCAGTTAGAGGAGGGGCCGGCAGCAGGAGTCGTGTGAAAAGGAGTTGAAAGGCTCGCTCAATGCTTTTGCGCCCCTCTGCAGAGACTAGGCTGCAAGAAAAAAAAAGATGGGGGAAAGTAATCTCCCGTGAGGCAACAGTGTGTTCTGTTTGGCGCTGTCAGAGGTGAAAACAGAGAAAAAGAAAACAGCGAGAAATGCCCGGAGAAATGAAAGCGTCTGTCTCCTTCTCTCGACAACTCTTCAGGTGGACAAAGTTCCCGCCTCGAGTAACTCTGGCAGGTAGGCCCGCGGTTGCACCTTGGGGGGCGCTCCGGTACCCACCGTCATCGGGGGGCTCCAGCAGCCCGGACATGCCGGTGCGCAAGGGGGGAGACGCCGACAGCGGGTACAGCTCCATCCTCGGACCGGACGGAGACCTCGCCGGCGTCCACGACGGGGCCAGCTCGGGCCCGGGCTCGGCGGCGATCCTAAAGTCCGGCAGCGTGTCGCGCAGGTAGCGCAGGCTACCGGTCGGCTCCACCTCGGCCTGCACCTCCATGCTGACGGTGGCGGCCTGGCCGGCCGACGGCGACCTGGTCAGCAGCGCGATGGCCGGCGGCGGCAGGGGCGAGCGGCCGCCGCTCGTGGTGAGCAGCGTGTCCAGGTCGGTGATGACGGCCGACGCGGAGGTGCTGCGCGCGTGCTCCGCGGCCAGCCAGCGCTCGGTGCGCTCCTGGCGGCGCTGGTGGCGCAGGCGCCGCCGCTCGGCCTGCTCCTCGGCCTCCTCGTCCAGCCTGCGGCGCGCGCGCGCCCGCCGGCACGCCGGGCACCAGGCCGCCTCGGCGCGCGCCTCCTCGACGGCTCCCCTGCGGCGCAGCGCGCACGCCATGTGGTACAGCGCCATGGCCCCGGCGAGGGCCCCGGCGGCCCGCTCCTCACGCCACGCGGCGGCCCTCCTGGCGGCGCGCCAGCCCGCGCCCCGCCGCGGACACGCGGGGCATGGCGTCGACCGGGACGCACCCCTCTAACGAGGAAAAAGTTGTCGATCCGACACGATGCGCTCGCGCGCGCCAAAACCAGCAAAGCTGGCGGAAAGTGTCGGCAAAAAAAAATTAGGACATTAAAAAGATGAGAAAAATAATCACTCCAACTTCGACTTCAACCTTTTTTCATAACTGACAAACATCGCGAGCAGTATGGAATTTTCTAAACCTAAATAACTAAAGGCGAACAGAGTCGCCGCGCAGCTCCCCGGCGGGG